TCTTCCATCCGATGACTAAACCAAGATCTGGGTCTTTCTCTTGGTCTTCCTTGATCTTATTATCCTCCCAGTTGTCGTCTACAGCTCTAGTTCTACAAATGGCTGCTTCCTTCTCTTCTGCTCGTCGGCAATGTGAGCAGTCATCGGGGCATGGTCTCCGTGACAGGGCATCTGCGTTTTTATGGCTAGTCTCAGCTCGATATTCTATTTCGAACTCAAATTCTTGTAATCTCTCAATCCAGCGCGCTAATTGGCCCTCGGGATTTTTGAACTGCAGAAGCCATTTGAGAGCTGCATGGTCCATTCTCAACAGAAATCGTCTTCCATAAACGTATTTGTAGAAATGCTCTACACCTTTGACTTCGGCCAACAGCTCCTTTCCATCCTGGATTTGAGAAAGGACTGCTCCAAGTCCCACGTTGCTGGCGTCCGTATCCAAAATGAACTTTCCGTCAGGTAGGGGATAGCTCAAAACAGGAGCGTTGATCAAAACTCTTTTCTACTTCTTGAATGAGCTTGGCATTCCTCAGACCACTGGAACTGGATCTGCCCTTCTGTGAGTCAAGTCAATGGTTTGGCGATGCTGGCAAACCCCAGTACATCTCGGCGGTAGTAGGTGTATAAACCAAGGAAGCTCCGAAGCTGATGTATGTCTTTTGGAATGGGCCAATCCTTAACTACTTTGAGCTTTTGTTCGTCTACCGCCACTCCCTCCCCAGAGACAACGTGGCCAAGGTAACGGACTTCTTTCTGGAACAGATGACATTTCTTGAGACTGAGTTTCAATCCAGAACTCCTCAGACGCATGAATACCTCCTCCAGATTTTTTAAGTGATCGTCGAACGATTTTCCGACCACGATCATATCGTCGTGATACACTAGACACGTCTTCCATGAGAGCCCCTTGAGAACCGTCTCTATCGATCTCTCGAAGGTTGCTGGAGCATTACAAAGCCCGAATGGCATAACCGTGAACTGCCACAATCCTGAGCCGATGGTGAAAGCCATCTTTTCTCGATCTTCTGGGGCCAATTCAACTTGCCAATATCCACTCTTCAAATCCAAGGTCGAGAAAATTGTGGAGCCGGCTAGCGTGTCTAGGGTGTCGTCGATTCTTGGAAGAGGGTAGCCGTTTTTCTTCGTCACGTGATTTAGTTGGCGATAATCCACACAGAACCTTGTCGAGCCGCCCTTCTTCTTTACTAACACGACTGGGGAAGACCAGAGGCTGTCAGAAGGTTCGATGACTCCTTCTTTTCCCATATCGCTGACTATCTTGTCTGCATCTTATCTCTTGGTAAGAGGGAGTCTTCTAGCTGATTGCCGGATTGGTAGGGCATTCCCAGTGTCGATTCGAATGATGAACCACATTCGTTCTGCCGCCTTTTCCTTCTCCAATGTCGAAGATTTCCTGGTACTTCTTGACTAACGTCCTCTATTTTGATCGGTGAGTTGGTGGTATGTCCTTGGAGGAAATGTCAATCAACTTCTCCAACTCTTTAGGCAAGTTATTGGCTTGGCTAACCGAACTGCGTACACTCCATATCACCGAGAAAATGGACGAACAGTGCCCCAGTAGTGTTCCTTTCTTCAAGGTCACGGGAAAGTAGTTGACATTCATGACCCTGACCGGCACAACTTTATCAACACGCAACAGGGTCTTCCCCAGTGCGATTCCTCGTCCAATTTTCTCATTGTGTATTTCGGGCTCTAACATTACCACCTTGCCGCACTTCCGTCGAAGCGAGCCTCCAGGATGGTTTCAGCTCTTTCAGGTACACATACGTCTTCAGCCAATAGGACCCTTATCGTGTCTTCGCTTCTTCCATGAAGCACTAGGTCTTCTCCGCCGACACATAGGACGCTGCCATGGAAATTCAGCTCGAACCCCCTGGAATTCATTATGTCCATTCCAATGATTGCATCGTCCTCGATGTCCGCTACTAATGCACGATGTTTCAATTTATTGCTGCCCAACATCAAGTCAATTGGTAATTCTCCAAGTGCAGTGGCTGGCTCCCCTGTTGCGGTTCTTAGTTTCCAGCTTGACGGTTCAATTCTTGCCGGTGTTTTGCCAAAGGTTGGCCCAAGAATGGTTCTCGTCGCACCTGTATCTAGCAGCATGGTGCAAGGCTCGTTGTTGATGAGGCCGTCTACGAAAACACCTTTGTCTTGTCGTTAGAGAACGGCAACCTATGCGTTTTTACGAGGGCTTGCTGAGTACAGGTCGACGATTGCCCCTTCTCATCGACCCCCTCTAGTTTTCCTGATTTGGTGTCGATTCTTTGAAAGCTGGACATTTACTACGCACATGTCCAATTTTCCCACAGTTCCAGCATCTTATTTGTTTCCTCTCAGGCAACACTTCTTTCATTACTTTTTTAATGGTGGTCTCAATACCATCCTATTCTTTCTTTGAGTGGACTCGCCACACTACAAAGCTCTTTCTTCAAGCCTTCTGCATTCTCTAGAAGTTCTTCCTTCAAGCTATTCGAATTCTCTAGAAATTTATCTTCCAAACTTTTCGAATTTTCCAAAAGCTTGTCTTCCAAACTCTTCGAGTTTTTCAGAAGCTTCTCCTCCAGGCACTTCGAATTTTGTTGAAGTTCATCTTTTAAACTCTTCGAATTGTCACGAAGCTTGTCTTCCAAATTCTTCGAATTTTCTAGAAATTTATCTTCCAAGCTTTTCGCATTTTCCAGAAGCTTCTCTTCAAGGCTTATCGAATTTAGTCAAAGTCCATCGAGTTTGCTCATTATTGAACTCAAATCACCCCCAGAGACTTCGAATAAATATGTTTCGGGATCTTCTCCTGATTCAATCAAGCTATCCCACAGTCTCTTCTGGAGTACTGATTTCTTTCCGAAAGAATCTAGCTCTCTCTCCTTCAACTCTTGCTTCAATTCGGCGACTTTCAAGTCTACTAGGCACACTTTCCTCGAACGCATTTTGTCTCTTATTGTCTATTTTCTACAAAACTGAATACGTCCACTTATTTTATTCGAGTCTGAAACACTTATTTATTTTCACAAGTCTGTAGTCCGGTACTGCCCACTTCGCGAAAAACAATGAATCAATGAGTCACCGTAATACAAAGACTGTCCACCAAGCGTTCACAAATTTATTTTAAAAATCCTACTTCTGACACCAATTGTAACGAATTATATATTTCATTATCACAACTAATTTATGTACAACACTTAGCAACTAACGCTTACTTTATCTTCACAGTTAGATTTCTTCCTTTAAACGCACGATTCACTTTCTAAGTACAGACTAACTGACTGACCAGAAGCGGCGCCTTTTTATATCGGCAACGATCGCTCCGGATCTCTCTAGGGATTTCGGGACTCATCTACACCTTTTGCGATGTCTCGCGATGAGTTATGCGTTTACTGACTGAGACATCGGTCAGGGCCGGAAACAGTCGAAATGATGGAAAGCGTCCTGATGCAATGTCGCTCATTCCTTGGAGACATGGAAAACCTTCGATATGGGATTTCATCTGTATTGATACTTTGCCTTGCTCTCATCTTGATTTAATTTCGCAAACAGCTGATTGGGCTGCATCATATGCTGAAAAAATGAAACTGCGGATGACGGCTGACATTTTTAGCAAATGGGTACGCGCATGGGATCGTGAACTCACGAAAGAGAACAAGAAAATCCTGTTGACAACTGTCCAGCACATCCCCATATTACAGACTTGAAAAGCATAACCCTGGTGTTTTTGCCTCCAAACAGGACATCAGTGTTGCAACCCATGGACCAAGGGATTATTTGAGTTTTGAAATCACATTTTCGTAAAAACCTTGTCCTGAAAATGATATAGTTTCTAGACGGCTGCGCGAGCAGTAGCATGATGTCTCCAAAGATCACTGTTCTTGATGCTATTCTAATGATTCGAGATGCCTCGAACTAATCAACCAAGGTACAATTTTTAACTGTTACAAACACGCTGGATGTGTGCGAAACAATGTAGAATGTAGCCTAACTTCAAACCCAGATGATTTCAACGAAGAAGACGACGTGCCGCTGAGGATTTGGGCGAGGGCTATTGATATGCATCAGTTACCCATAACAAACGAGAACTTTGAACAATACGCGTGTGTCGATGATGTTGTCGCCATTTGTGAGGAACCGTCTGATGAAAACATTGTGGAAAATATAATTGCCAACGACGCGAATAGCAAAGATAATGGCGGTGATGATGACGCACCAGAAGAGATTTATCCAAACTTGAGTGTGTCTAAAGCTCTGAAGACTGCGGAAACGCTCAATGTGTTTGTTCAGACTAACTTGGACGATGATGTTATGAAAACAATGATGTCGCGAATTCATAATGCTGTACGAAATTCTTACTACCGAACAAAAGTTTGTCAAAAACAAATTCAAATAACAGACTTTCTACGTTATTAACACAGTTTTTTCGTACATTGCGTGTGTATTTTATCTCTTTGTATTACAGTACATAATGTAAGTACATATGTTTGTACATTAGGATATTTAAGAACTATTAAAGTAAAGCATATGTGATTCTTATAAAATGTTATATTCACCTATCGATCAGCAATCCGAACAGTTGAATGAAAGACTAATGAATTAATGTACACTTTATTACCACAAAATTAAACTGTTTTGTGCGTCGTCCGGTTAGTACGACGTAGTATATCCGGTCTCTTGAAGGTCGGTATATCCGGATTCTAGTGTAATCCATATGATGATAAAAGTAAATCAGACTATAGTTTTAAACATTTTGTGGCAGAATATTTAAGAGGCAAACTGAGCACTGTAAACAGTTTCAAAATCATAAAAGGACAAATGGAGACGAGAGAAAATGTTAAAACCCAGAAAGATTTTGCGGTGATCCAATCAATAGCCGTATCTTCACCTTTTGACTACTTTCCGCACACTGTGATCTCCCCGTCGATGTACCACCAACATGCGTCTATGATGGTACAGCCAAACCTGTCCAAGCATCTCCCCAATCGAGCGTCATCTATCAGAGTGCCTAATACTTATGTTTTTTCACAACATAATCCTACCGTTCATGAATATCCTCACAACAGTAGACACGCCGGAGATGGTCAAGCTTTGATGGAATACCCGCAGGAACGGTCAAGCTTTGATGGAAAAGGAACAGGAAATTCGAAATGAGGCTGAATCCGTATAGTCCCCAAAAGAACTAATTCCCAACGGAGTTGGAGTAACCAACCCTACCCCTGTCGCAATATCGTGGGCAAGTCTTCTCAAATTCTACAACGCCGATGTTTTGTATGAAACCCAACAGTTTCAATAAAGTCGCTTTCAACCAGACCCCCGAAAACGAAAATAACAACAGTCTTCACATATGCCTCTTCAATTACTCTAGAAGATTCGACTAATTTTCACATCTAGAGTGTAATAGGATGGGCGAGTTCCTATCTACATACAGGAGGGTAGTGAGTTTGCAACCAAGGCGTCTGCTTAATCAAAGCCATCACTTCTACATCAACTAGATTTTGCAAGTACTTACAACTTACTGGACAGCCTGAGAAAAAACATCTCGTCGAATGAGAGACGGAAATCTATCCCGGTTATAGTTGGAATGTGTCGTTTTGTGGAACAGTTCAATTACTTACTTTCCTACATCACGATGAAAGATAGGAAAGTGGATAGAAAGGCCAAGAATGACGAAGCAGTTATCTTCACTGGCATTCCTTTCGGTTCGACGTGAATTTATAAAATGTTGAATAACATGCGGACGGACTGGATCGAGGGTAGACAACAAGATGCGGAAGAGTTTTTTTTTGAATGGAGTAAATTATGAAACGGTTGAGTAAAAGTCGGTTAAATGTTACACTCAAGATGAAAAACCTCTCACTGACTCTGCTTTGAGCAGTGATTCATTTAATGAATGGAACGTAATGGGATCAATCAGAAGGATCGACTTCACCAGTACATCAATAAGTGACGCAACTGAAGTCGGACATTCATCGTACCAGAGGCCACATTACTGAGAATATCCAGCTTTTCCTCACCCTGCCACTCAACATTGAGAAAGTAAATAATATCAGGGAAGCATTTAATGTACTCGTCTCCAAGAACAGTTTCAAGGGGCTGACTTCGTCGAAAACTAACGAGCAGGTCGAAGTGTGGGAACAAAAAATGCTCTGCAAACTTCCCGTTATCCTCATATTGTATCTGAAATCTTTCGAATACAGCAATGACGATGGCACGGAGACTATCAAATCTTTGGTTTGGCTTCATCTTGAGAATTGATTCCACATTGGTATTCGTCACGATGGCAAAAATGTCAACATTGGACATAACGTCACCGATGCCTTCCACGTCGGCTACAACTGCTGGCTAAGGTACGACGATTTTTCGGTCAAGACCGTGCAGGAAAAATATATGCTGAAGTCCCAGGGAACGCGAATCTACATTTGCTGTTGTGCAGGCGAAGCGATACGATCCGATCTAATTAACGCCCTCTCTTGGGGAATAAGGTTGCTGCGGTTACTTACGTAGGGTTCAGCGTCTAGAATCCACGGAGTCTTTTTTTGAGTTTTTATCGAATTCATTATTTTGTTGGTTTTAATGGATGTTTTATTGCGTTCTTTTGTTGTAATGTAACTTATATTCAATGTATATATGAAATTTTATTCGAAACTATTATTTAATTGAAAAAAAAATTATACTCACTTATCGATATAGAAACTTTCAACTTTGGACACTTCTGCTTGAGCTTCTTCCATTTCCTTTCTGGGATTATGATACTCTCTAAATCAGTTTCGTCAAAGAATAACTCCAAAAGACGTAAATAATTCTGACCATTTTCTGCCAAAACATCTATGACTCTGGGCCGTGACAAGATGAAATAATCCAATTTCAATTCTTGTAGAAAGACGAATTCTTTCAAATGAACAACGAACTCTGGTGTGTCAAAGGCCGTATTGTATATGTAAAGGTTATTCCGGATTTCTAATGATTTTATGGTATATTTGGACATTACACATGCTTCGAAAATTTTCAAACATTCACTTTTTGGTAAATTGGCATTTCGGAATATCAGCGAACGCAATTTCCTTTGAGTTCTGGAAAATATTCATAGAGTTTTTCAATATAGAAGAATGACAAGACGAGCAATAAGAATCTCACTGATCTTTATCAAAAGTTGCTTGAGCCTCCGAGAACGTGCGATTCTATGTTAAAATAAAAAGTTGAACACTTTGATGAAATGTGTTCTTGTTGATTTATTAACTGAATGTCCATTTTGATTTTTTTGAACAGAATTACAGAACTCAATATATAATATGAAAATTAACGATAAAATCGAGGTGACTGAGTAAAACGCTGTTCAGTTTTTGAATATAATTCAAGAGGGGATTTGAGCTGGTAAACCTGTGGTATGTGACTTCACTTGCGTTGACACGGTCGCGGTTTCCCATCTAGCCGAAAGTTCGAAGTCTGTTGGAACTGCAGCATTGTCTGGCGAAAAATTGAAAAAAAAATACCAAAATCTTGGTAACAACTATCTGTTCTATCCAGTAGCGGTTGGAACTTTTGGTGTTTATGGCCCGGAGTCTCTGTTATTCGCTCATGAACTCGAATGGAGAATAGGGCAAGCAACGAAAGATTACCGTTCTACTTCTTTTATGATAGAAAGAATTAGTATTGCTACTATACGTGGTAGGGCAGCTTCGGTCCTTGGAACTATTCCTCCTTCATATAATGTTAATGAGTACTTCAGTACGGAATTGAAATCTCTTCGAAACAAGCTAAAATATGTGTATATTCATCAGTATCCTATCAAGGTTAATTCGTAAGTGATTGATGATCCACCTTCTGCTTTTCAGTGCGATCAATGGACTCAGGTCATTCTTGCCCCGCCAAATATGAGCTGAAGTTCTCTTGGATCTGGTTACCTTTCAGTGGAATAGCTTCATGAAGCAAGAGCCGAATCGATTCCTCTACGAAACCCTTCATCACTTGGAAGGATCGATTGCAGCTTGAGAAATGGTTCTGATACAGATTCTGTGAAACCTGTTATTCCTTACGAAACAGTAGACAGTTGTCTTGAAAATCTTGAGAAAAAAATTGGATTAGATGATTTAGGAAACACTTGCTACATGAATAACATTTTACAAGTGTTGTTCATGACGAAGAATTTCAAGAACGAGGTTTTAACGATGAACGAGAATGAGAATGTTTCCTACATATTCACCAAACTCAAAAACTTGTTCATGCAGTTGCAGTTTCGTAAGAATGTATCATCTTTCTCACCAACCGATTTCCTGGAGTCTTTGAAGTCTACTAGATACTCGTTAGGACAACAAGAAGAGTGCTCCGAACTCCTGGGGTTCTTGTTGAATATTCTTGAATAGCAGAATCAATACTCACGACCGCTCTGAATTGAATTATTCCGTACAGTGTATCTCGTCTAGTGTTTTCAGATCTCTTGCTGGAAAAATCCCCACTTGTTTACTTTGTAGTAAATGTTCAAGAGGTAGCAAAAACGTATGTGATTTTCTGGAACTTCAATTAGCGTTTCCTAATATGAATGATAACCAGTCCGTGCAATGCTTATTGTTAAATAATCTGAAAATAGAACTTTTAACGGGTGCTGGTCAACTGTATTGCCAAACATGCGATAAATTAACCGACTATTGTAAGAAAGCAAGTATAGCTGAAGCACCAGTTAATCTAATAATAACATTGATGATCTTCTAACATAACCCAACCTCTGAAGCACCAAACCTTTACGAAGGTTCGAAATAGATGAACACTTTAATCTACCAGACTACTATTATAATCTTCATGCAGTCATTGTTTACTGTGGTTCTGGCGTTGAATCTATTCATTGGTTACGCCTTGGTTAAAGACGAAACGGACTGGTTTGAGTTTGTCGATAGTCGTGTCACTTAGTGTTCTGGCGATGTCTTGAAATTATTGGAGCCTCTGAAGGAACACTACATTTTGTTTTATAAAAGAGAGGACACTGGCAGATCAAGATCTTCAGATGATGTGGTGCTGCAGGTTTTTCCGGGTTTTCCTGCAGCTGAAAAAGCAAATGCGCCACTGGAATCAATGAAGTAAAAAACTGTTTAAAATCTCTTTAAAATCTGTTTTTCCGTTAATCAGCTGTCGCTCCCATACGAACGACAACTCTCAGAAGTTGAGAAACTTGTGCGAGCTAAGGACTAACGAGGTCTTACCTTTTAATGTGTGATGCCTAACACATTCCAATAACAAATTACAAATTAGATTAACGAATACAATTTCACTGGAACACTTTGTTCTTTCTAGGCGAACACTTCCGATGTCTGCAAATTAACATGTCTTCTTTGGTGTATACGCCTTCAGGGTACTCGCATTATTTCTAATATTTTTCTATTTTGAGTCACTCAGTATCCTATCATTGTACGCAGTCACTTATTCTGAGTGGTCAACTACAGGTCTACTTTTTAGAGTTTGGCTGCTAAGTCAATTATTTGCTGATTATCAACTAGGGTCGTTTTCATCCTCTTTCAGTCAATTATTATTTAGAGGTGTTTTTGATGAAGTGATATACTTTCCCTGATGTCTCTTGTTCATCGACCAACTCGACAATGTGAGGCTTGCCCTATTTTGATCGTTAAATTACAACATGTATAAACAATGGAGGTATAGTTCGTGGAGTTGGATCTTTTGCATTGTAAATTTTCTATTTCAGAACTTTTTTAAAATATCTCAATTACTGACAGATTTTGAATTATTAACGAAAAACTGTATGTCATCTTAATTTGAAATTTATATGTGCCGTGAAATCATTGAAATACATGTTCCTACATGTCATTTCGATTTAATTTTCTGATTTTGATTCCTAACGCGAAGTTCATTTTGTGAATCACATTTTTATTAGTGATTCGAATTCACAGCAATTTATTAGTTTTTTTGATAAAAAATCTAGTATACCTATCATAAGGTACTCTCGCAAATGGTGTTCCGGAAGAATTCTGGGCCATCTCTCCTTTATTTCTTCCTCTTTTTACGAAACACAGTAGTACCCCTCTCGAATTCCTGTCGAGGCTTTTTATTTAATTTTTTATGCCTAAAAAAATGTGACATCTGGGCCCTTTTATCTTGTATCTGCCTGACTGTGGGAAATCAATAGTTTCAATAAATTCAGTTCCTTCTAAATGAAGGGATCTTTATCTAATTTGTAAAGAAACCAACCCAGTTTTCGAATTCAATCGTCTCGAATCATTCTTTTATTAAACTGTCGAATGAATGAATTAATTACTGGTGAAAATGTATTGAAAACTCTGTATTTAAAAATAACTCGATTTATTTTAGAATTTTTGACGGCTGATACTTAGGTTAGGTCTACAGAGAGTGGGTCTATTCCACCCTCCACCGCAACCCGCAAGGGTTTATTGTGGCTCACATCTATTCACACTCGATCAAATAAATCCAGCTTCTTAACGAAGCCGATTAGTTTGTATGGTGAGTGGTCTTTCAGGTCAGATGGTAAGAGTACGGCTCTGCCGAACTCTAAAAAACTGATTCGGTCCCCAGCGGGGCAGGCACAAAGTATATGCTCTGCTGTTTCATCATTTCAGAGGCGACACACACTGTCTTCCGACAGTCCGAGTCTCTGCATATGATGACTCAAATAACGGTGACCTGTAAGGAGGCCTGTTAGACATCGTAGTTCATCCCTACTGTAGTCCAACAACTGTATGGTGTCAAGCTTCAAAGGGTGAATAAACGCCTTGGAGTGAGCCAATCCTAGAAGATTCTGTCAGAAGTCCATGAATCTTCTTGCCATCCAGGCGTTCAATGTTTGTTTGGCAAAGCCTAAAGCGATGCCAATGACAGGTACTGGTCCGATGCTTGCAGCACCCTCCTTTGCAAGGGAGTCAGCAGCCTCATTGCCTTCCATGCCAGTATGGCCAGGAATCCAGACCAGAGACAATCTGTTAAGTATTCCTATCGAGGAGAGTCGTTTTTGGCAATTTGCTACCAATTTAGAGGTTGCCAATATTTTTATTGACTTGTGTATGAGGTTGGATTCTTCCAATCTCTCTGCACATAATTTAATAGCGTAAATTTTCGATTGAAATACAGTCGCATAGGTTCCTAGGCAGGTAGAAATCTCTGTCCTGGGTCTGCGACTAAAAACACCTGCACCAGAACCGGAAGGTGTTTTTGATCCATCTGTGAATCAACAACTATCTGCTCTTGATATTACCTTCTCCAGGAGGAATCAGTCGTCTCTACTCGGGAACAATACTTTATAAGGCAGTTTGTAGTTGACAGATGGAGGCATAAAGTCAGAGGTCATTTTCAGAATGCTGTGACTTCCAGTGTCAACAAACAGTCTGTTGCACTCTGCATAAAATTGATTTGTGCAATTGGCAATGTGAACAAGTCTGTATGCAGTCCATCTAGCCTCTCTCTCTCCAGAAAAATGTGGAGAGGAGGTAGATCTAGAAGGATCTCCCTGGCTGCTGACGGAGTGGTAGTGATGGCACCACTACAGCCGATACTTACTGAAAATTCATAACGTAGTCAAGTAATACTCATTTGTGAGATTTTCACAGGGTAGTTTACAAAACCGCAACACGTGTTTCTCTATACAATGGGTTTATCAATCGTTTTCATACTGATTAGTCAGTATATAAATAAAATCGTGTAGTTTGAAGTAGTTTTAGGAACTGAATATATGTACTGAATTATGTTGTAATTTGCAGTCACTAATTTATTCTATTCAATTGAAAACAAAATCAGAACTTTTAAAATTATTATTTGAAGGACTGATTGATAACAATTGATAACTTACTTGAGAAATCTGGACAGGTGGTATATGATTTTCTTGAAAGGATATATATCATACCATTCGAAAATTTTGAAGCATTCCACTTGAACATCGTTTTCGATTAAACTAAATATGTATTTAACAACCCTTTTGGTAAGTTCGTGAACCTTCAACGGTAACCATCGATTCTGAATGAGTGGTTTTTCCCAACCGATTTCCAAATTTTTAATATGTCTCAAATATTTTTGTGTCATTAAAGTCGTGCTGGGCTCCAAAAAGTCTTGATCCACACATATTACAATTTGTTTCCATAAATCCCTTCGATCTAAAGCTTCTTTCCATTTTTGGCAAACCATCGAACATGACAGTTTGTCATTTTTTGTTAAATACTTGAAAATTTCTGAAACAATTTCTGTAGGAATTGATCCTTGCCAGACACTACCCATAAACCCACATATCTAACTTATTTTTGAAATAAGAGAGATTAACGTTATCGAAAAATCGAATAATATTCTTTACAACATAAATTTCAATTTGAAGTATTATTTTGATACAGACTTTTGGAGTTGTGCCGTTTCTATGGAAAGTATAGGGTTGAATTTTGTGAAGTATTGATTTTTACTGAGTTGTCGTCCTGCTGTAGGTATAGACAATAATGAATAAGAATGACGTCATTGGTGATATTACAAAGTGGCATGGCATTTTGTATGCTTCAGTCACAGATTCCTTCCTACATGATACAACTAGTATATATGATGGAATTGGCCGATACTTGATGAACATCCATAACTAAGGTATTCAAAGAACATTTTATTGTGAGATTTTCACTAAACAGTTTTTAAGAAACGCAACATGTGTTTCGCCATACAATGGCTTCTTCGGGCGTGTATTTACTGTAACGACACGCCCGAAGAAGCCGCTGTATGGCGAAACACGTGTTGCGTTTTTGTAAAACTGTTAAGTGAAAATCTCACTGAGAAGACACGCCTGAAGAAGCCATCGTATGGCGAAACACGTGTTGCATTTTTGTAAAACTGATTATACTAAAACAATTTTCAATTGAAGGTGATTCATTAGCAACGTCGCACTTGAAGTGACCAACGGATACTCCTCTTACCAACTCTGCAGAGGCGTACCAAAATAATATATTTATTTATTCAAACACATAGGTAATTACGTAAAAATTGTTATAGTACGTGGCGCTACCTGATGTCAATGGTAAAACTGATTACATTTTCTTATTATGCCTAATACAGTACTTCAAAAAAACAGAAAAATTTACAAAATAATTATTATGTTTCTTTTATATAGAAAGAGAACTATAAAGCAAAGAAATAATTATTACCTATGTTATGGTTATGAAGTTTCAGAATCCATTGACTCGTCCGAAGAGGAATCCCCAGTCACACTTCAATCTATTATTATTTGGTCGAAAACAGTGTCTACCATCCCGTCCAATCCCCACATTTTCTCTTCTTCTTTGATCACATGGGCTACAGCATTAGCCCAATCTTCTTTCCGTATCCGTTCCATTGCGAGTTCTAATAAACGTTGGACATCAGAAAATTTATATTTCACGTTTTCACGATCTACGTAACGCTTAATTTGAGCCCAGATTAAGTCTATCGGGTTTTACTCGCAATGGTAAGGAGGAAGTCTCAAAATGGTGATGCCTTCAGCACGAGCTATTGTATCCACCACATGCTGGTGATATCTGTCACGATGCTGTTTAGTGACACTCATAAGCTCGGTCTTAACCATGTCCTCGGAAAATGGAATTCCTTTTTGTCCTAACCATCTCTGCATGTCTGCTTTTCTGGTGGTCATAGTTGGCAGCTATTTTACTAATCGGCCGTGATAAGAAGCGTTATCCATTACTATTACTGAATTTGGCTCGGCTCGTGAAAGAAGGGATTCAAACCATCCTTCAAAGCGTTGGGCGTCCATGTCTTCGTGATAATCCTCCGTTTTTTTGGATAAAAAAATTAGTGCACTATCGACTAAAAAGCCACTCTTGCTACCTATATGGGCGACAATTAGTCGTTGCCCTTTACCCGTTGGTCCGCGCAACCCTGTTGATAAACCGTCCACAAATGCAATTACCCACGTTTCGTCCAGATAATGAATCTTTTTGAGAGCAGAACGCATTTCTCTAATGGAGCGAAGATATCTCCGTCGCCATGAGACTATATCTTCTCTTTCTATTAAGACACATCTATGGGATCGTTTGGCATATATATTTTAAATTTTCATTTTTGGAATGAGATCATTATCCATTACCTTTGTCCTAATGGATTCGAGGGTTGGCGCTTTATTCTCAAAAAAGAAAGAATGAATGGTACATCGTACAAAATTTTTCTGACAATTATTTACAATGGCGATGCATAGACAATAAAAATGACCCCGGTAAGAATTTAGTTCCAACATTTAACATTGTTGCCGTTAGCTCTCAGTTCAATTTGTATATGAGTTACTTTCAATTGAAAATTGTTATACTATAGTATAGTCATACTATACTCAAAATGAATTGTTTTTTGAATACGTCAAATAACTACTCGAAAAAAACTTATTGAGGTTCGATCAATAGGAACTGCTGACCATAAAAAATAAATCTACCGAAATATACTTTCTCATAATGCATTTTGGGAATATTTTGATCAAGTAAATTAGTAGTCCTCGTAAGATCAAAATATATGCTGAATAAGTATCTTTCATCTCTTATCTATCACAAACTTCAAGGACTGATAAAGGGCATTTTCTGTTGATTCGCCTGTTAGAAATCCATATTGCCCATTTATTATGCCAAAAACACCAGTTATGCACTGGTATAATTTTCACATGCCTCAGCTTTTCTGGAGAGATCGCTGATTTGAAAAGTTATGCTTTCTAAACATGATATTATTCTACTTATGAGTTTGTGAGTTATTGTGCTAAGAGTGACACTACTTTTTTTATTTTCAAAACAGTGGAACAAAAAACAATTTCGTATTTTAATTTTACTCTGCTGCTTGATGGAAAAAATTACCCTTCAAGCGACGCAATGGCTTGAAAAGTTTCATAAGAACTTCGTTCCATCAGAAACGACAATAAAACGTTGGTTTGCTGACTTCAAACGTTGTCGTAGAAACACCGATGATGCAGAACGCAGTGGACGTCCAAATGAGGCAGTAACACCAGAAAACATGAAAAAATCTACAAAATCGTTTTGAATGATCGAAAAATGAAGTTGCGTGAGTTATAGCTGATATTGTGAAGATATCAAAAGAACGTGTTGGCTTTATATTGCATGAGCATTTGACTATGAGACAGCTCTGTTCAAATTAGTTGGTGCAACGTAGGATCAATCCCCTACTCTAAAGTTATGGTTGAGATCATTCATCTATTCCATTAGAGATCTAAAATCTTCAATGATAATATAGCTGTACAAACTCTTTAGGATATTTTGATCAACATTGCTCTGAAAAAGGTGAAAATGTATAATTTCCGGATGTAAGATTATTTGTTATCTCACGGCAATTTGATTTTTTCAATTATCATATCAGGGATTTCAAGTGGTAGTGTTGGCAGTCATGAATAATTACACAAGCAACTACAGAAAAGAACACAAAAATATAACGAAAATAATCCTAGAAGACAATACTGAAATCACTGATCCACTAGAAATATCAAATCAAATAAATTATTATTTCTTGCATGTAGGCCAAAATTTAGCTAAGAAAATTTCAAATCCCATAGGCGAACATAAGTACGAATACTCAGATAAATCTCTGTTTTTGAAACCCATTGAGGAAGGGGAATTGAGAAGTATATGTTTAGTGTTAGGAATCACACGTTAAAAAGTAAGACCTCGTCAGTCCTTGGCTTGCACAAGTTTCTCAACTACTGAGAGTTGTCGTTCGTATCAGACAGCTGATTAACGGAAAAACAGATTTTAAACAGACAGATTTTTAAACAGAATGTAAAAGATGGCAAAGCCTCTGGACCAGACCATATTAAAAATGAAATCATTAAATTATCGCTTGAATATATAGTTGAACCACTGTGTTATATTTTCAGTCTCTGTATGGAAACTGGTATAGTACCAGATCATTTCAAAACGGCTACTATTAAGCCAATGTATAAAGGAGGGAAAAAGACAAGTATATCGAATTATCGATCGATATCTTTGACTTCATCTTCTGCAAATCTGTTCGAAAAAATCATAAAAAAGAGTTGGTAGATAGAAACAACATTATTTTAGAAACACAATATGGTTTTCGTTAAAGAAAAAGCACATAAAATGCCATCGCAAAGCTTACTTCCTCGATATACAATGCTCTTGATACCAAGAAATGCTGTCTGGGTGTTTTCGTTGACCTAGCAAAGGCTTTCGACACGGTCAGTCATGCGCTTTTGCTGGAAAAACTGGAACATCTTGGTATCAGAGGAGTGGTGTTGGATTTGTTCAGAAATTTCTTAGCAGGTAGGAAACAACAAGTTCTAGTAAATGGAATTTTGAGTTCGGAGGAG